TTACAAGAATATATCAGCATCAATAAACTGTAGGACAGTAACAAAAAAAAAAAAAACATTATTTAACTATCACTATCATTCCTCGACATACTTCAAGAGTGTTTATGGATCTCACCGGAGGACACTGGCTGATTATTCCATCTTTATCAGAACTCTTACAGTGCCCTCGAGAGCATCTATGAACATTGCTCACCGCTCTCGTCCCCCCCCCCCCCCTGCAGAATGTCTACATCACTATGTGCTTGTTTGTGCTAGGTGTTTTTTAATATCGGTTTTTTCTTCTCAGGCAGGAAAAAAATGTCTGATAGGAATTTTTTCGCCTCCAGTTCCTACATGTGTCCAGTTTCACTACTTCTTGTCTGTCTAAACAGGTCTCACTTGTAAATGAGTCTTCTAGGCTCAATGTGACTTATCTGTCTAAATAAATGTTGAATGAAAGAGTTCTGGTGGTTGACCCTCTCTGAACAGATTTGCAACGGTGATATTTTTCCATCCATCCATTTTCTTTACCCGCTTATTCCATTTTGGGTCACGGGGGTCGCTGGTGCCCATGTCCAGCAATCACTGTGTGAGGGGCGGGGTACACCCTGGACAGGTCTCCAGTCCATCACAGGGACACATAGAGACAAACGAGACAAACAACCATTCACTCTCTCACTCACACCTAGGGACAATTTAGAGTTACCAATCAGCCTAACATGCATGTTTTTGGTCTGTGGGAGGAAACCGGAGTACCTGGAGAAAACCCACGCATGCACGGAGAGAACATGCAAACTCCACCCAGAAAGGCCCCCAGGTGGGATTTGAACCAGGAACCTGCTCGCTGAGAGGCAGCAGTTCTACCAGTTGCGCCACAGTGCTGCCCTGATATTTTAATTTTATTTCCAAACAATAAACATTTTTGTTGCTCCAAGAGATGTCTAAAGGATTTGGGAAATTGTTTTAAACCCCAAACCGGATCTGTACTTTACACAACTTAGTCTCTGACCTGTGTGGAGTTTTTTCAGGAGTTTTCTTGCTAGGTTATAGGTTTTAAAAGGTAGTAATGTGATGTAATGATGATGATAAACAGATGTATATAGCCTGAAACTATTTGACACGGGTTGTTCACAAGTGGATATTTTTCAAATAAATTTTGTGGCTTCTAAATACATAGTTGGGACTTCAACGCAAAGTCTAGCAATGAATATATATGTATGCCAGGCAGGGGCGGACTGAGACTGGGAAAATAATTAACCCCTTCAGGAAATTTTGATTAAAGTAGATGCCATGTACTGTATTCTGCTGTATTTTAACATATTTTTAAACATCTATGTTTAATTAGTTTATTAAAACATTAGTAAACACTTGATTCAATAACTATTTTAAAGATCATGGTACAACAAAAAGTAACTTATGCAACAAGAAGTTGCAACATATATCTACATATAAAACACACAAAACAAAGCACAACTAGCTTCAAGCATTAACCTTTAATTTAATTATTAATGAAATTATGACAAAAAATGGAGGACGTCCTTGCAGACTTGGTAAGTATCTATCTATCTATCTACAGTCAAACGTGAACTTCCAGTTTATCACTGTTATATTCAGCTGATCATGAGGTCGACCCCAAGACTTTATCCCTTTTATATTTTTCTAAACTTTGTTTAGTTTTGGAAATGTAATAAACTGTATTCCACCCTCTAAATGCTCAGGATAATGCTATATGAATTACATGTTCTCCACTACACTAACAACATTTAAACATTTTTTCTGATGATTGTTCACAAACTCCCTCTGATGGCTGTGTTCGAAATGCATAGCCTCTTCAATGTTTTCGTAGGAAAAGGGGGTGGAGCTCCTGCAAGTAAGGGCGGTTGCACTTTGGGACAAATTAAGATTGTTGATTGGTCAGTTGCTGACAAGCCTCATGCAAAATAAAATAAATAAAAATCCATCCATTCAACCATTCTCTTCCACTTATCCGGGGTCGGGTCGCGGGGGTAGCAGCCTAAGTAGGGAGGTCCAGACTTCCCTCTCCCCAGCCACTTGGGCCAGCACCTCCATGGGAATCCCAAGACGTTCCCAGGCCAGCCGAGAAACATAGTCCCTCCAGCGTGTCCTGGGTCTTTCTCTGGGTCTTCTCCCAGTGGGACGTACCCGGAACACCTCACCAAGGAGGCGTCCAGGAGGCATCCTAAACAGATGCCCGAGCCACCTCAACTGGCTCCTCTCGATGTGGAGAAGCAGCGGCTCTACTCTGAGTCTCTCCCGGATGACTGAGCTTGTCACCCTGTCTCTAAGGGAGAGTCCAGACACCCTGAGGAGAAAACTCATTTCGGCCGCTTGTATCCGAGATCTCGTTCTTTCGGTCACAACCCAAAGCTCATGACCATAGATGAGGGTAGGAACGTAGATCAATCGGTAAATTGAGAGCTTCACCTTTTGACTCAGCTCTCTCTTCTCCACGACAGACCGGTACAGCGCCCGCTTCACTGCAGATGCTGCACCTATCTGCCTATCAATCTCACGCTCCATTTTTCCCTAATTCGTGAACAAGACCCTGAGATACTTAAACTCCACCACTTGGGGCAAGACCTCCTCCAAGACCCGGAGAGGTCTCTCTACCCTTTTCCGGCTCAAGACCATGGCCTCAGATTTGGAGGAACTGATCTTCATCCTGGCCGCGTCACACTCGGCTGCAAACCGCTCCAGCGAAAGCTGTAGATCACGATCTGATGAAGCCAATAGGACCACATCATCTGCAGACAACAGAGAAGCGATCCTAAGACTTTTTAGAATTGATTAAAAATTTTTATTGTTTGTTTTAAAATCCCTGAATGGTCTTGCGCCATCATATCTATCTGAGCTTCTTACCCTCTACATCCCTTCTTGCAATCTCAGATTCTTAAATCTGTTCTTACTTTCCACTCCAAGAGCTCGACTGGTGACAGAAGGAGGGAGAGCTTTTATGGTCAGGGCTCCTAATTTGTGGAATGCTCCTCCTTTAAATATTAGACAGGCCTCTTCATTGTCTTCTTTTAAATCATTAGTTAAAACTTACTTGTTTAATAAGACTTTTAATATTTGAATTTCTTTCTTTTTTATGTTGTTATTTTAATTGATTTAGTATACTTTTGTGTTTCTGATGTAATTTATGATGTTTTAATTGATTAATGTGAAGCACTTTGTAACATTTGTTTGAAAAGTGCTATACAAATAAAGTATTATTATTATTATTATAAATGCAACAAATAGAATCCAAAACCCAAACCCTAACTCATTGGTCGGCTGGACTAAATTTACCCAGGGGTCCACCAGTTGAATGGCCCTGATGTATACACCTCTTTTCAGTTTTATATATTGTAGAATTATTTGAAACTTCCCTATACAAGCGGTGCAAGGGTTTGGTATGCATTGCCGCTAGGAAGTTAGACCCTTTCAGGGTGGGAGTTGGACTCTGACATGGAATCATAATCAGAATAAGCTTTATTATCATTGTACCGAGATACAACGAGTATATGTCTGTACAGTCGTCCGAAAGATGGGCGGAGTGCACGTAGCTGCTGCTGTGATAGCACAGCCTTCTTATCCTTTTCAGAAAACATTTTTCAGATAGAAAATAGGATAAAGCCACGAGGAGAGGATAGTTGTATTACAAAAAATTATATACGTTTCTTCACACCTTGTCCTAACAGGACATGATTTAAGACATCAAAAAAAAAACTCTGCCATCACGCTCATTTATGAACACGTTACAAATGCATTTGACGGCTGCATGTTGTCACAGATTCTGTTCATAACTTCTATGAACTGAATTTCTCGGTGTGGACAGGGGGTGGAGGGAGTCTGGTTCGGTGGCCTCAGGATTTCTTCTCTGCTATTTGCCAATGATGTGGTCCTGTTGGCGTCATCGTGCCGTGATCTTCAGCTCTCACTGGAGCAGTTTGAATCCAAGTGTGAACATGGGATGAGAAGCAGCACCTTCAAATCTGAGGCCAGACTCTGGAGAAACTCATCTGATAAGGTGCTCCATGGGCACCTCCCTAGGGAGGTGCTTTGGGCATGTCCAACTGGGAGGAGACCCCGGGGAAGACCCAGGTCACGTTGGAGAGACTACATTTCTCGCTTAGCCTGGGAATGCCTTGGGGTCCTCCCAGAAGAGTTTGAAGAGGTGGCTGTGAAAAGAGATGTCTGGATCTCCCTGCTCCAGCTGCTGCCCCCTCGAACAGACTTTGGAACAAGCGGAAGATAATGGATGGATGGATATAAAACACGTGTATTCCCCAACTTCACTCTAATAATATTTTGTGACACAATAATATTTTGTATAGCGCTAATGCATATATTCAAATTGAAATGCATTTAAATTCCAGGTTGAAAGAGAAACAAAAAAACAAAAACAGAATACCAAGGGCGTGAATACTTTTGCAATTCACAGTAGTTCAGGATTTGTTCTGGTCATTCTAATAACAGCAGCTAAAATCTTATTGAAATTCACAATGTACTAGAAGAATTTTGGTAATCACACAGAATCTCTGTGCCAGACAGTAAAGTAGCGGCAGTAGCTTTTATTTTTAGATATGCAAATGCTGGTTTCTGACCTTGAATTAGCCACTGTCATTGAATTTAGATGGCAGTAAGTTGCAGGCTACAGTACAACGCCTCATAACAATGCTTTCTTCAACAAGCTAATGAAAGCTTCTTACATCACAGCCCTCTGTACATCCGGAGAAACCCCTTCCAGGCTTCCTGTCGAAAGATACCATGCTGCCTCTACTGATGCTGCGATGTGGCCAGACCGAGATGCATTCAGAAAATGCATGAAAGCAGCACTCTAATGATGAGGGAAAAATGTGTCAGCCTTATGTTTATATCTATGCAGTGACAAAACGAGATGAAAATCAAACCTCATTCCTCTGTGGCTTGTCAGGGTTTTTCCCACTGAGATGATAAATCCCCAGGTTGTACATCCCATCATCACTCCCATTTAAAGCAGCCTGTTCAAAGAATTTCACTGCAGACTTGTGGTCCTTTAGCACAAACCCATGGTACCAGCCTAAACCATTCAGGGCATTAATTGAACCCTAAAGCAGGGAAATAGACAATTGTATTCAGAGTGAATTTCTACGAAATAAACACAGCCCTCGATTGCTTCTCGCTCACCATCGCTGCTGCTTTTTTCAGAAGCTGAAACCCTTGAGTATAGTTCCTTTTCACTCCCTGGCCCTGAAGGAATTAACATCAATCAGCAAATTGATTTGTGCCAAAACAGAGAGAACACACAAAACATGCATACAAAAATTCCAGTGTTCAATTCAAGTGTAAAACAAGGTCTGTGTAATTTTGCACAACCTTCATTAGTAGAATGGAGTAGTCGTACATTGCCGAGGGATCCTTCATTTGCATGGCACTTCGCTCAAACCACTTCAGTGCGCTGGCTATGTCTTTAGAGACTCCATTTTGTCCCCAGTAAAGCATCGTTCCCAAGCGTCTCTAAAATTAATAGAGTTTTTAATAGTCTGTTCTGGACAGTGACGTCACCACTGACCACCAAAGAAAAATTTAACAAAAGCAAAGGGGCTACTTTTCTCTCTGTGTTTTTGGTAATCTTCCACAGACAACCACACACAACTCATCTGAATAATAAATCCTATGAACTGTCACATCAGCTTTGTGTATCACTCATACCTGAGACTCCAGGTCTCCTCTTTCTGCTTGGAATTTCAAATACTGAAAAACATCACTCGTCTCGTGTGTCAGACTGTCTAAATCCTCCTTGTTGCTTAGATAGATGTATTCAGGGGTGTATTGCTGCAGAAAAAACAAACAGTCAATTTCACGATAAATTTCTTTTCAGCAAATGTTTGTTTGTTACTGACAGGACTGTCCCTGTGAACACTTCACACTTTTACCAATGATACAACTCTCTTTTCAAAAACTAAATTATTATTCATTAGTTAAATCTAATATTCAATAATTTGAATCAAGTCTAATGGATCATTCATTCATCCCTTTACCCACTTTTTTCTTTTCACGTCGTACCATACCATACCATACCATACCATTTTATTTATAAAGCACTTAAAACAGCGACAATGCCAACTAAAGTGCTGTACAGACTGAACAACAGGTAACACAAAGCAATATACAAAATGAAGTAAATCAAAAATATAGCTGTAAAAATGATGCAGATAATAAATATGACAACTAACCAGTGTGGAGCGTAGAGGTTCAAAACACAGATCATCTGGTGTTGAAAGCTACTGAATAGTAGTGAGTTTTTAAATGGGATTTGAAAACCGAGAGGGAGGGGGCCTGTCTGACAAGCAGAGGTAACTCATTCCAAAGTCTTGGTCCTGCTACAGAGAAGACCCTGTCACCTCTGCGCTTAAGACGAGTTCCTGGAACTGTGAGGAGCAACTGGTCCGCTGACCTCAGGGAATGTGGTGGGACATACGGCTGTAGCAAATCAGCGAGATGGTGGGGGTGGTGGGTGGGGGGGGGGACTGTGCAGCGATTTGTAGACATACAGGAGTATTTTGAACTGGATTCGAAGGTGAACCGGTAACCAGTGCAGTGAGGCCAAAACTGGTGTAATGTGCTCTCTTTTGCCTGTACTGGTTAAAAATCAGACTGCTGCATTCTGGACCAGTTGTAGTCGTGCAATGGAGGTCTGACTGATACCAAACAGGAGTGAATTGCAGTAATCAAGCCTAGATGTAATGAATGCATGTATTACTGTCTCCAGGTTCTTTTTGAATAATATGGGCTTCAGTTTAGACAGCCGCCTAAGTTGGAAGAAACATGATTTAACAATCATGGTTTTTTTTTTGGTTTTTTTATGTTTTTTTTTTAAAAAAAACAACATTTTGTTTATTTGGAATTTTGAACTAATGTCTGGTTTTGTGAAAAAATATATATATAATTTTTACAGTATAAATTAGTATATTATCCTAGTATCTCAAAAAATATGCTTCACTATCTCATTATCTTTACTAAATGGGTTTTCATATTTTATTGGATCTGTTTGGATTGTTGGGCGGCACAGAGTTGCTGCTTCTCAAATCCTGTTGCCAGTTCAAATCCTGGCAGGGATCTTTCTGGGTGGAGTTTGCATGTTCTCTCTGTGCATGCATGGGTTTTCTCCAGGTACTCCAGTTTCCTCCCACAGACCAAAAACATGCATGCTAGTCTGATTGGTAACTCTAAATTGTCCCTAGGTGTGAGTGAGAGTGAGTGAATGGTTGTTTGTTTCATTTGTCTCTATGTGACCATCACAGTGACCCCAATGACCTGAAAAGGAAGAAGCGGGTAAAGATGATGGATGGATGGATGGGTTATTTTGTTTTGTTCCTGGTTTGACTTTGATTGTATGCAGTTTGACTATTTTTGTTTTCATTGAATTGTGCAGAAATAAAATACATTTTATGTAACTTATTCAGACATATCTACTTTTTATATATAAAGTGCCCCTCTCTTGGCTGCCATTTTAGCGTGGTGGAGGGGTTTAAGTGTCCCAGTGATCCTAGGAGCTATGCTGTCAGGGGCTTTATGCCCCTAGTAGGGTCACCCAAGAAAGAACGGTCTAAGGTGAGGGACCAGACAAAGTGCAGCCCAAAGACCCCTTATGATGAGTACAATCAATGGAAACAATGTTCCGTCACTCAGACGTGGGTCACCGTGGTCCCACTCTGGAGCAGGGCCTGAAGGTGGGGCACGCTGGCAAGCGCCTGGTGGCTGAGCTTTTACCCATGGAGCCCGGCTGGGCACAGCCCGAAGAGGAAACGTGGGTCCCCCATCCCATGAGCTCGCCACCTGTTGGAGGGGCCAAAGGGGTCTAGTGCAATGTGGGATGGGTGGTGGCCGAGAGCGGAGAACTTGGTGGTCTCATCCTCGGATACAGAAGCTGGCTATTGGGACATGGAATGTCACCTGTCTTGTGGGGAAGGAGCCTGAGCTGGTGTGTGAGGTTGAGAGGTTCTAGTTAGAAATAGTCTGACTCACCTCAACGCATGGCTTTGGCACTGGAACCAGTTTCCTTGAGAGGGGTTGGACACTCTTCCACTCTGGAGTTGCTCCTGGTGAGAGGCGCCGAGCAGGAGTGGGCATACTTGTTTTCCCCCATCTTGGTGCCTGTATGTTGGGGTTCAACCCATGGAACGAGAGGGTAGCCTCCCTCCACCTACGTGTGGGGGGACGGGTTCTAACTGTTGTTTGTGCTTATGTGACAAACAGCAGTTCAGATTACTCACCCTTTTTGGGGTCCTTGAAGGGGGTACTGGAGAGTGCACCTCCTGGGGACTCCCTTGTTTTGCTGGGGGACTTCAACTCTCACGTGGGCAATGACAGTGAGACCTGGAGGGGTGTGTTTGGGAGGTACAGCCCCCCTGATCTGAACCCGAGTGGTGTTCTGTTATTGGACTTCTCTGCTCATCATGAATTGTCCATAAGAAACACCATGTTCAAGCATAAATGTGTCAATATATGCTCTTGGTACCAGGACACCCTAGGAAACAGTTTAATGATCACATTTGTTGTCATCTCATCTGATCTGTGTGCACTTGTCTTGGACACTTTGGTGAAGAGAGGGGCGGAGCTGTCCACTGACCACTACCTGGTGGTGAGTTGGCTTCGATGGTGGGGGAGTATGCTGGTCAGATCTAGCAGACCCAAACGTATTGTGAGGATCTGCTGGGAATGTCTGGCAGTCTCTTGTGAGATGGAGCTCTAACTCCCACCTCCGGTAGAACTTTGAACATGTTCCGGGGGAGGTGGGGGACATTGAGTCCGAGTGGTCCATGTTCCGTGCCTCTATTGTCGAGGTGGCTTACGGAACTGTGGCTACAAGGTTGTCATGCCTGTAGAAGTGGTAACTCTTGAACCCGGTGGTGGACACTGGAAGTGAGGGATTCTGTTAGGCTGAAGAAGGAGTCCTATCTGGACTTTTTGGCCTGTGAGACCCTGGAAGCAGATGATGGGTACTGGCAGTCCACGCGGAATGTGGCTCGGGTGGTCGCTGAGGCTAGAACTCAGGCATGGGAGGAGTTTGGAGAGGCCGTGGAGGCCGGCCTTCCATACGGCTCCTAGGCGATTCTGGGCTACCATCCGGCGTCTCGCGAGGGAAAAAGGTACACCACCAACTGTCAGGGTTTGGTGGACAGGAACGAACCCAGTAGTGCAGACAGGACTCAACTCGGCAGATTACAAAACCAAACACTTTAATGATGACTAACAAAGTAACAAAATAATAAGCTGACGAGGCAGCAACACTTACAAAAATAGAAGACTCAGGAGGGATACTCAAACGGGACTCAGGAAGCTCAGGAATACTCAGGAGACACAGGAGAACACTGAAGACCCAAACGAATACAACGCGACCAAGAACAAGACAGAACAGACAGCTTTTATACCAGGACAAAACAAGACGTGATTACAAACAGCTGTGACGAGACAAGGGTGACACCAATTAAACTGAAGAGAACACACAAGGGAAACACAGACACAAACAGAACCAGTAAATGGTACCATCCTTACAGTACCCCCCCCTCAAGGACGCCTCCAGGCGTCCCCCAGAAAACCCCCCTCCCGAAGGACTTGGGCGGGTGGAGGGCAGCACTGCAAGGGTGGAGGGCCAGAGGAAACACCAGGACCAGAGAAAAGACACGAGGGACCAGAGAAAATACACGAGAGATCACAAAGAACGAGACACGAGGAGCCAAGGAGAAAAAGGACACGAGGAACCAGAAAAGGGACACGAGGAACCAGAAAAGGGACATGAGGAGCCACAGAGAGCGAGGACATGAGGAACCAGAAAACGAGGACATGAGGAGCAAAAAGGACACGAGAAGAAAAACAAGACACGAGGAGCCAAGGACACGAGGAGCAAAAGGGCACGAGGAGCCAAGGAGAAAAACAAGACACGAGGAGCCAGAGAACACAAAACACGAGGAGCCAGAGGAAAAACAAAAACACTAGGAGCCAGAGAAAAAACAAAAACACTAGGAGCCAGAGAAAAACAAAAACACTA